TCCAAAATTCCCTCGAGACCCTTCACTTCACTAGCCAGCTACTTTCTCTTTCAGACAAGATGAAGGCTTTGAAGGAACAGCGAGAGCCTCCTGTTGACGTTCACGTTGACGATGACGACTTTGCTGGACTCGCTTGCCCTCTCGACGACCTTGAAGCTGTCTTCATCCTTGAAAGTGAAACCACGACTTTCGATCCCTCCAACTTGTTCCACGACGTCAAACTTGATGACCACGACATGGCAATTCAAGAGAAGCCCAAGAAACCACCATCTCACGGCAAAGGCAAGAGTTTGGAGACCCTCCGCTTGGTGCTATGCCCACCACCTCCATCTTCTTGTCAACAAAACCCTACGGGGCCAGGGGCTAGGAACCTCAAGGCACTCACCATATAAAACTAAGGCTTCGGTCCCCACTCTTATGCACTGAAAACAGACTCACATTCCTACCCATACAGGAGAGAATCAGAGTGCATAGAGAGAGGAAGACTAAGGCTAGTTCGTGGGTTTTGCTGCTGTTGCTGTGCTTGCTCTAATGGCTTCTCAAGGTTAGTGCTTATAGATTACGTGCGATATAGAACTTACAAACAAAACCCTAAGGGGCCCACAAAGTCTACTGATCATGATCTTCATCATCGGCAAGATTGGGATGATGAAGAGAAGTTGGAGACTAGTGTTCGAAAGCTTCACCAAGGCTATCGAGAGTTCCAAAACAAGCGAAAGAAAATTCAAGTTATCGACATCAAGAACTTGCCTATTCCTTCACCAAAGCTAAAGCCGCAACGAGGTCGGGTTTTGAACAAGAACAAGTTGTTGACCAGTTCCAGGAAGTGCCGAGCCTTCTGATTTCCTGGAGAGCAAGCACGTGATCTTATTCTTTAGTTTATTCAGTTCATTCATTAATTGTTTAGTGGCTAAAATATCGGAATGCTATTATTAATGCCATATTATTTGAATATTTTAATATTTTTGTGTGTTCTTTATCACTGATCTGAAATTTTAATTCCTTGTTCCAGGTAACCCAGAAAGAAAAATATAATTTATCTATATATATAAAGCAAAAGGCAGAGAATGGTGAAACATTCAAAATACCAGAAAATGCCCTTGGTTAATGCAAACATTAAGAATTGAAATTATTAATTAAATGAGGATAATATGGTAAATTCACACTTTTTCATATTTAAAAAAATTAAAATTAAAAGAAAAATCAGATAATAGATCCTATTTTTATGGAACACAACTACCCATTATCTTTTTTAATTCTAAAATAAATTTAAATTTTTTATTAAAAAAAGCCTCTTGCAGGCACGGAAGCGCGTGCAGAGAGGCTAGTTATTAGAAAAAGAATTAGGTGCCACAGTGCAACTCTTTTTCTTTTTTTTTTGTTGCAATGGGGGAACCAAGCCTAGAGAAGCGAAACTAAACACTGAGGCTCATGGGGCTTGATTAGTAGGGCATTCTAAAAAATTTAGAGAAATGTATAATAAAATTCATTTCTTGCATTGAATTTATATATACACCCTAAACCTTATAAATTGAAGAAAAAGGACCAACTGAACTGTAATATTTTTAATTTGAATTATATGTGTAATACCATTATTGTCCTTGAATTATGATTTTTAGGAAAGAAAAAAAAACACTAATAGCATTGTTGTAATTTTTAGGCTTTTCAAGGGTTGTATGGTATATTTATGGCATGCTTACTAAGCCATAATCGGATTAGGAGAAATTGAATTGAGAAGGAGTTGGATTGAGGAGAGTTAGATTCCGAATTCCTATTGAAGTTGTTTGCTAAACCATATGGAATTGGGGTGGGAGTGGTATTATTCCTTACAAGTTAAATTCACATGAATTAGAATTGAAACCAAATTGACTACTAAAATGCCCTCATTATTGGGTTAAAGTAGATGGTAAATTTGGAATTTTAAAAATTGTGTGAGGATATAATGGATAAAAAAAGTTAAATTGCTAATGTGTTAGTTCTCCACGAATTAGAATACCACCTCCCACCAAAGAGTCCAATTACTTCAAAATCAAGAGTTGAATTACTGCTTTTGTGTGGTGTCACTCGCATTTTCAGTCCTCCATATGAAGTAAACATGCATAGGAGTGTCCATAATAGGAATTTAGTTCCTTATTTTAATTCCGAAAGGCAAATGGAGTTTTTCCTAAGATTTGGGTATTGTAGAATTCTTTTATATTCCGAGCCCTATTTATGGGCTTACATGTGAAAACCGCATCTTCTAAAGAGCTTATATACTTTTGGTTCTTGCTCAAGTGATTTTATATTTTTGTTAGTTTTTAGTCAATGAGTAAGCCATTATGGCCTTTGTTAGTTTGGATTTAGGAAATTACAATTTTGCCGTTATTGAGAAAAAAGTGGTATAGCAAAATAAGAAAAACGTAAAAGTAACTTCTTCTTTTTTTTTGGGTCATGAAAGTAATAATAAGTTAATAACTGGGTTTGGTGAGATATAGTGAGATATGACATCATTGCATGCACAACATTTTTATTTTTGAGATATGACCTCATTGCATACACAATATAATGGTGCAGCTATAAATGCAACTATAAATAATGGTGCGAAAACTAGAAAGATGCCAAGAGTGAGCTGAAAGCTAATTAGCAATGGCAGAAGCAACAAAGAGGTAGTGTTGTCTGGTTCTTCTATATATGCTTTGTACTTCTCCATTTCTTATTATCTTTCTTGGTTCTTGGGGCTATCGTTTTTCTCAGGTACGCAGTTGTCACAGGGGCAAATAAAGGGATTGGATTTGGCACGGTTAGGCAACTGGCTTCAAATGGGGTCACAGTGGTGTTAACTGCTAGAGATGAAAAGAGGGGTCTTGAAGCTGTTGAACAATTAAAAGAGCTTGGCCTCTCTGACCTGGTGGTCTTTCATCAGCTTGATGTAACAGACCCTGTTAGCATTGCTTCCTTGGCAGATTTTGTCAATACCCAGTTTGGGAAACTTGATATCTTGGTAAGTTTCGGAATTTTAAGTTCAGTTTTGCAGCTTAAAGAAATAGAGAGCAAAATATTGCAATTGTGATGATCTCTGATTACCTACTGAAATTCATGCTTTGCTTTAATTTATATTTTTAGTTGAAATATACATAACAAAGATCCAAAATGTTTTAACTTCTGTACTGTGTAGGTAAACAATGCAGGAATTATTGGAAGCCAACTGAACCCTGAAGCTTTTAGATCAGCTGCAAGTGGTAAGGTAAGGTTCTGCATATAATATGTGATCTTAAAAGTAATTGGGGTTTTTGAAATTGGATGCGACATTGCTTCTGGGTCATATATGGTTCGTTGGACCTTACCTTATTATGAATACCAAATTTTATTAGCTGCATTCAAAACAATTTCCTTCTTTGAGGGGAGCTTAGAGGCTTAGGCTTTCTGGGAACACAACCCTTCTACAATTTTTTTGTATCTTATAGTGTAAAGTAATAATGCAAAACTTGCAAGAGGGTTTTACATGTCTTTTCCTGAATGCAGAAGGCTGAAGAAATCGATTGGAGTGAAGTATCAACCACACTAAACTACGAGTTAGCAGAAGAATGCCTGGAAACAAACTACTATGGGACCAAAAGAGTGACTGAAGCACTTTTGCCTATCCTCCAGCTATCTGATTCACCAAGAATCGTTAATGTTTCTTCCCGTTTCGCTAAGCTGATGGTACGATCAACTTCAAAAATGTGTTTCTTTCTTAGTATTCTCAAGTTTCAACTAGTTGTTAATATCGTTGATGAAGTTTCTGTACAAAAGATGTTAGAGAATTCTTTGTCCTTAATCTGCTCTTCTTTAGTTAATTCTTTCACTAATCGACCTGATTCTAATTTTTCTTTTTTTTAGGAAGTTCAATTAGGTTGTTTAAAATTCGAGATAGTAATAACCATTCTTATTATGATGCTAAACATTAGTAGTGAAAGGTTAAATTGTAATGTAAGCAATCTATCAATTATATTTAGATGCAACGTTTTCTGTTTCCTAACCAAATTAAAACTCTTCTTTTTTTCATATTGCTTCAGAATTTTCCAAATGGATGGGCTAAAGAGGTGCTAAGTGAGGCTGAAAGCCTTACAGAAGAGAGAATAGATGATGTGCTTAGTGTGTTTTTGGAAGACATTAAACAAGGTTTAGCAGAAACCAAAAGCTGGCCTCCTCTCTTTCCACCCTATTCAGTCTCAAAAGCAGCCTTGAACGCGTACACTAGGATCTTGGCCAATAAGTATCCAAATTTCTACATCAACTGTGTGAGTCCTGGATTTGTCAAAACTGATATAAGCTACAATACTGGCATCTTAACCGTCGACGAAGGTGCCAAAAGCCTTGTCAGGTTGGCGCTTCTCCCCAATGGCGGTCCTACCGGCCTCTATTTTCTCCGTCAAGAAGTGACACCTTTTTGAATATTTATAATATATGTACAATGTAACATGGGAATAATGATCGTCCAAAGTTTATGTACAATGTGACATAAAAAATTGGGGGAGTTATAGATGGGGAGGGGCATGTGAAGATCACCTTCCCTAGAGATTTCATATGATGATTCTGCAGTATAAAATAAATTTTGGCATTGCTGCAATTTCTTAAATTCATGAAATAGAGAACACATTTTGCTTGAGTTTTTATTTTTATTTCAAGTTGATATATGGAAAGATTGGAAGTTCTGTACTCTGTATCCCTTATAAAATTAATGCCTAGCCTAGATGAAGTTATCGATTAACAAAGACGCTCAAAGGCCCCAATATTGTAGCGTGTGGTTGAAAACTAAACCAAAAAGAATGGTTGGTTGAAACAAAAGCAAAACATATGACCTCATTGCATACACAATGTTATATATGACCTCATTGCATACACAATGTTATTTGAAATATCTATATGACTTTGAGTGTATAAATAATGGTCAACTTGTTCGTCCAAAAAAAAAAAAAAGGTCAACTGTATGAGGCCTATAAATAAGCCACAAATAAGCTGATAGCTGAAGGCCAATTAACAATGGCAGACACAATGTTATTTGAAATATCTATATGACTTTGAGTGTATAAATAATGGTGAACTTGTTCGTCCAAAAAAAAATAATAATGGTCAACTGTATGAGGCCTATAAATAAGCCACAAATAAGCTGATAGCTGAAGGCCAATTAACAATGGCAGAAGCAACAAAGAGGTAGTGCCTGGTTCAAATAAGCTGCATACATATTTTCTTGGACATTTCTTATTATCTTTCAAAACTGGGTTTCTGTTTTTTCTTTTTCTTTTTTCAGGAATGCAGTTGTCACAGGGGCTAATAAAGGGATTGGATTTGGCACAGTTAAGCAGTTGGCTTCAAATGGGGTCACTGTGGTGTTAACTGCTAGAGATGAGAAGAGGGGTCTTGAAGCTGTTGATAAATTGAAAGAGTTTGGCCTCTCTGACCTTGCGGTTTTTCATCAGCTTGATGTTACAGATCCTTCTAGCATTACTTCCTTGGCAGATTTTGTCAAAACCCAATTTGGGAAACTTGATATCTTGGTATATCTTGAAATTCAAGTTGATTTTTTTTTTTACTGTTTATTACAATAAAGCATAATATTTATTACAATTTTTTATTATATATAATCTCTAATTATCTACTGATGTTACTTACTTTGATTTGCATTTTACGTTGAAATAAACATAAAAAGATGAAATATTTGCAACTGCTGTACTGTGTTGTGTAGGTAAACAATGCAGGAATGATTGGAAACCAAATAAATCCTGAAGATTTTAGATCAGCTGCAAGTGGTAAGGTAAGGATATCTTCATCATAAGTCAAATTGGATACTGCTTCTTGTTGTTCATGTTTTGCAATTCGTGACTGTGCTTCTAATAAGAAAACTATAATTGTTCTTAGCTATCCGATTATGAATCAATGAAAACTATGCCAAATTCTATTAGATGCAAAACAATTTCCTTGTTTGAGGTGAGGTTAGGGGCTTAGGCAATGAAATTTTCTGGGAACACAATCCTTGTACAAATTTCATTCTCTTATAAGTTAGGAAAGTAATGATGCAAAACTTCCATGAGGATTAACTTTTTTCTACTGGATGCAGAAGTCTGAAGAAATCCGTTGGAGTGAAATACCGACGACACCGAACTACAAGTTAGCAGAACAAGGCCTGAAAACAAACTACTATGGTACCAAAAGAGTGACTGAAGCACTTTTGCCCCTACTCCAGCTATCTGATTCACCAAGAATCGTTAATGTTTCTTCCACTGTTTCTAAGCTTGAGGTATGAGAAACTTCAAATTTATGTTTCTCTTTTTACATTCTCCTAACAAGATCATGTTTCCACTTATTTAGCTGTCAATACGGTTGACGAAACTTAATATTTCAGTCAACTTATTTGCCTTTAGAAAAGATATTTGTAGAATTCTTTGTTCCTAATCTGTTCTTCTTCTTTAGTTCTTTCATAAATGGGCCTACTTGAAATGCGTTAACTCTTAATCAGTGTTTTCTACTGGTTTAATGAAGTCTACTGGTTTAATGTTTAATGTTTCTGTATTCAATCAAATCAAAACTCTCATGTTTTTCATGTTGCTTTAGATTTTTCCAAATGGATGGGCTAAAGAGGTGCTAAGTGATGCCGAAAGCCTTACAGAAGAGAGAATAGATGCAGTGTTGGCTGAGCTTTTAGAAGACTTTAAACAAGGTTCGGTAGAAAACAAAAGCTGGCCAACTATCTTTCCACCCTATACAGTCTCAAAAGCAGCTGTGAATGCATACACTAGAATTCTGGCCAAGAAGTACCCCAACTTCTACATCAATTGTGTGTGCCCTGGATTTGTCAACACAGATATAACCTTCAATACTGGCACCTTAACCATCGAAGAAGGTGCTGAAAGCCTTGTCAGGTTGGCGCTACTCCCCAATGGCGGTCCTACTGGCCACTTCTTTTTACGCAAAGAAGCAACCCCGTTTTGAATATTTATGATGATCACAGAGGTTTTTCATATGTTTCATGAATAAGGGTCATCGAGAGTTCATCTACAATAATGTAACAAATGATGTTGAGAGACTTATGTTAGAGGTATGTGAGTGATCACCTTCCCTAGAGATTCTATATGATGATTATGCAGTAAAAGTAATTCGTATTTGGTGGATTTCTTCTTTGTCCATTATAATTTATAAGTCAATGTCAATGCTACAATTTGTGGTTTCTGCAGATGAAATCCTGGTACAATTTTCATTCTCCTATAAGTTAGGAAAGTAATGATGATAAACTTCGAAGTGTATGATTTTGTGACCGAAGATCCCTCTTTCTCAAGGTCCACAACCCCCTAGTTCTGTTGAAAACTCCACATTTCTTCTATCTAAGTTGAATCCAATTTTGGACATCAACAATATTGTTCATGAAAATTAACACATTATGTACGTTACTGATTTCATTCGTCCAACATTGGAACTGTACGATCATAGACAGTGGCGGTCCTACGCCAAGGGCAACATAGGCACTAGGCACTAGGTAGGCAAGGTAGGCATGAGCTTCAGCTCCCAAAAAGCTTCTCAGGTGCCCACATGATTCAAATTCAACATGCCTTCACAATTTGTCATGTCATAAAATAGCAATACATATCTAATATGAAATGTTTATTCATATTCCTATCTGGTTTCTTTACTGCAGTCCTAATTCCTAAAAAATATTTTCCACGCTCCCTCGCAAATATTTTGAGACTCCCTCTTGTATTTGGTTGGAATTTATTATGATAGTTTTAATAGAGGGTTACTTATTTTAATTTATATTTATTTGGTTTGTTAGACTATATTTATCTTTTGTACTCAAATTTCAAGGTTGATAAATGAAGAAATTTGTTGTTATATGTAAATTTCAAAATTTGTTGTCAAATGTGGGGTTGGAAAAATTGTAGTGTTGGATATATTTAAATTATATGTTTTTTGATGTGCAATGGGCAACACAGCATGATATTGTTCATAACAACCTCAATTTTGCACAAATAACTAAAGTCAAAATTTAAAACAACATCACTCATCAGACAACTAATGCATATAACTAGAAGTAGCATCAACACTATTGGTTTTTGTGATGTTGTAAGTCAGAAAATGCATTAGTGTAGTATAAAATTCTTATACTGTAAACTGTATTTAGTATCAGGATTATTAAAACTACCGATGCCGTTGCATGTTTAGGCATCGGGGGTCAACTTTTTTTGGCACACATAAGGAACTTTAGCATCGGTGTTTATTATAGAACTGATGTTGTAAATATATAAAGGTAATGTTATAGGCAAGGGTGAGTAATACCACGGTAGGAAGGGTGATTTGGCAATGGATATTATCCGTTGCTAAAGGCAAAATTTGGCATAGTGAATTATTATAAGCTCTTGTCAAGTTATTGACCCAAAAAAAACCTCTTGTCAAGCTTTGTATGTAAGTTTTTGCCTACCCAAGTTTGGAATCCTGGATCCACCACTGATCATAGATCATAGGGGTTAGGTGAAGAAATTTGAGTTCGCACTATATGATATTAACTGTCAGTGAAGAAATATTAATTTAACCAAGGTGGTTGGTGTGAGTGGTTCGGCACTCTCATTCCTTAAGAGAGGTCAGGGGTTCGATCCCTGCTCTCGTATGGAGTCACCACTTTGGCTAGCACTTTACCCCTTACGGGCCGACCCGGTGTGAGCGGGGATTAGTCTGGGTTGTGGTTAAGGCTTAAAGGTGCCACCCATAGTTGGGGTCCATTCAGGACCACCTCGTGGTTCAGACCAAAAAAAAATTATTAATTTGAGTTACGGATGACATATGATGATGCAGGTCGGGTACATTGTTATGATCGATCCGTCTACCAGGGGGCCAGAACCAACTTACTGAGGATGAAAGGTGCTGTCGTTGTTGGTGTATACCACCCATTGATTGATGAGTCAGTTGTGAGAATTCTACATATGGGCATGACTTTGACTTGATTCGTAAACATTGTGGTACCTAGCGTATATGCATGTTATGAGATTTCATGCTTTAATATTAGAAGTAAGTATATGCGTGGACCGTTGATGATGATATGGATTTCATGCAAGAAATGTGGTCTGAGCATGTTGATGCCATTGTTACAAGCAAAGCAACCCCAAGGTCTAATGCAAGATATCAGAACACAGTGTCTGGAGCACTGTTTCTCATTATCAGAAGGAAAAAGTTTGTGCAACCCTCTCATCTTACCCTTTTTATAATTAACGAAGAAATGATCATCAATAGTTCACGTACAAAATTGATCTGACCAAAATCAATATCATGAATATGATTCAACTTGATTATGGCTCCTTAATTTAATTATGCTCTACTAAATCTAAATGTTTGATGGGCTTGTGTAGGAGATTCACGAGATAAACAGTTAATTAAAAAAAATAATAAGTTGAAATAAAGACAATAGATTGCATTTATAATTTAGACACAAAGACCGTCGGGCACAAGTTGAGATAAGTTTCTTGCCCCTCATATCTTAATCAATTGCATTTGATGTGATCTCTAAACAATCATACAATTATTCACATTATGCAGCCTGCCTCCGGCAAATTAATCATACAATTTGATGTGATCCAAATTGCACCAAATACAATGCAATGCTCTAGTTTTCTGTCTTTTGGTAAATGATTGACAATTGCCTTAGTTCTCTCCTGTGTCTTACCTTTTTCTTCTTGCTTAAACAAATAAAACCATTTCTTATATACATTACCAATACGGTATCGGAGCTAAATTTCTGGAAGACTTATCTTTGGTCCAATCCCAAATGTAAATGCTCGAAGATGAAATGATGAAGATTGGCTGATTGGTTTTGCAACATTAGATAATTCTGATTGAGATGAACGGTAAGGATTTGTCCCAAAAAAAATAGATGAAGGGTAATGAGGAGGGCTTAAAGCCCAAACAAACATAGAAGAAAAAAGTCAAAGGCCCAAAACTCATCTGTTACTCTAAAAGGAGGTCCAAAGGCCCAGAAAAAGGAAAGAAAACTAAACCGACACGAATAATATATAACTGGTTTTGGTGAGACGTGACCTCATTGCATACACAACATTGTTTGTATGACCTCATTGCATACACAACATTGTTTGAAGTATGACCTCATTGCATAGTCTCAATCTCAATATACATGATCGTAGGTGTGCTGGGAAAGAATGAGGGTGAGAAGTTAATCTGAGAACTACTAGAAACAAGCCAGAAGTAAGCAAAGTTCGTAACAATGGCAGAAGCAACAAAGAGGTAATAATAAGTTCCTCTTATGCTTTGGTGTTTGGACTTTCCAATCAAATCTTCTTGCCCACATAAATAACACCCATTTCTTATCTTTCATTGTGTTTCTTTTTTGGCTCAGGTATGCAGTTGTCACAGGGGCTAATAAAGGGGTTGGATTTGGCACAGTTAAGCAGTTGGCTTCAAATGGGGTCACTGTGGTGTTAGCTGCTAGAGATGAGAAGAGGGGTCTTGAAGCCGTTGAAAAGTTAAAAGAGTTTGGCCTCTCCGACCTCGTGGTGTTTCATCAGCTTGATGTAGCAGACTCCATTAGCATTGCTTCCTTTGCAGATTTTGTCAAAACCCAATTCGGGAAACTTGATATCTTGGTATATCTTGAAATTTTAAGTTGATTTTTTTACTGCTTGAAGCAATAGAGAGCAAAAAAACATAACAAAGATGCAACATTTGGTCCTTTCTGTACTGTGTAGGTAAACAATGCAGCAATTAATGGAAGCACAGTAACGGCTGAAGCTTTTAAATCAGCTGCAAGTGGTAAGGTAAGGCTTTCTATTATATATCATATATATCTTCATCAGTAAGTAAAGATGATTTTGGAATTAAATGCAACACTAATTGAGAAGAGTGACCTTATAATGTTAATAACCTTATATATGCATTACTATCAAGCCAAATTGGACGCTGCTTCTTCTTGTTGTTTTTTTTTGGTCGAAATGCTTCTTTTTGTTGATTTGTTTCTGTGCTTCTAATAAGAAAACTATGCCAAATTTTGTTAGATACAAAAAAAATTTCCTCGTTTGAGGTGAGGTTAGGGACTTAGGCAATGCAATTCTCTGTGAAAACAATCCTTGTACAATTTTAGTTATCTTATAAGTTAGGAAAGCAATGACCGAAACTTCCAAAAGGATTAACTTTTTCTTCTCCTGGATGCAGAAGGCTGAAGAAATCGATTGGAGTGCAATACCGACAACACCAAACTACGAGTTAGCAGAGGAATGCTTGAAAACAAACTACTATGGTACAAAAAGTGTGACTGCAGCACTTTTGCCCCTCCTCGGGCTATCCGATTCACCAAGAATCGTTAATGTTTCTTCAGTACTTTCTAAGCTAACGGTATGACCAAATTCAAAAAGATGTTTCTTTTTTGGCATTCTCCTAAGAAGATCAAGTTTCCACTGGTTGTTCATATGGTTGATAAGTTGAACTAAATATTTCAGTCAATTTAGTTGCCTTACAAATGGTGTGGAGAATTCTCTGTCTTTAATCTATTTTTCGTTTCTTCTTAAATAAACGGGCCAGATTGATATGTATTAACCCTTATGCAGGATTTTCTTTTCTGAATGAACTCTATTGGAACTCTGGGATTATACGTTGGAAGATTAATTAAATTCCAGAACAAACCACTTTTTTAGTGATGCTAAGGTTTCAAATTTTATCTGAACAGTGGTAGTGAAGGTTTAATTATTAGAAATCCATCTTTTTATTTACATGTAGATGCAATGTTTCTGTTTTCAAATCAACTTAAAACCCTCCTGTTTTCATTTTGCTTCAGAATTTTCCAAATGCATGGGCTAAGGAGGTACTAAGTGATGCTGAGAGCCTTACAGAAGACAGAATAGATGCTGTGGTTAGTGGGTTTTTGGAAGACTTTAAACAAGGCTCTCTAGATTCCAAAAGCTGGCCTCCTATCTTTCCACCCTATTCAGTCTCAAAAGCAGCCGTGAATGCGTACACTAGGATTCTGGCCAACAAGTATCCAAGTTTCTACATCAATGCTGTCAGCCCTGGATTTGTCAAAACAGATTTGAGCTTCAATACCGGCATCTTAACCATCGACGAAGGTGCTGAAAGCCTCGTCAGGTTGGCGCTGCTCCCCAATGGTGGTCCTACCGGCCATTACTTTAGCCGAAAAGAAGTGACTCTTTTTTGAAATTTCATAGATGATAACAGAGGCCCTTCATATGTTTCATGAAGAATGATCATCAATAGCTTATGTACAATGTAACATATGAAGTTGAATGACTTGAAATTTTTTGTTTCTTTTTTGGCATACTCATAAGGAAATCAAGTTTCCACTAGTTGTTAACACGGTTTATGTGTCACTGCCCAAGTTTTGAAAGAAAAGCATTCTGGTGGAAATAGCTAAAAGGCAAGGCCACAATGAACCAAAAGCAGTCAAGGACAGGCCTCAAGTTGGTGAGAAGTTACCTCCCAAATGCACAAACAAAATGTACAGCATTACCATTAACAAGTTCATAATGATAATAAAACCAAAGAAAGAAGTTTCCTACCAAAATGAAAACAAAAGGTACTGAAAATGAATGTTAAACAATCTTCACTCTCATTAGTGCCAGGTGGGTTCACTTCGGAGGACAACCACTCAATTTTGGAAGGTAGAATGGATTGGAACAGGCTCAGAAGCAGTGAATTTTAGGCAAGGAATATGATTAAGAACCTTCCTTTTTTCTTTTCTTTTTAAAATTTTAATTTTTTCTTACCAATTCTGGTCAAACAATTGGAATTTGAACTCCATATTTTGATGTAGGAATAGGAAAAATAGTATGATTTCAATTATTTCAAACCAATTCTATGTTTGGTATGTACAAAAATGAATAGATTGGAACCACTTACTTATGAGAAAGTGAAACTTATGTAGAATGATCCCATATGAGTTCTATAGCATATTCCTCTCTAAAATACCAGGTAAAAAATTTCTCTATCACTCTGCAGTTTTTGCACATATATTCTCAAATCAGAAATAAAATAAAATAAAAAACCCTCATTTCTCAACTGTCATATTGAAAAATAATAATAAATAATATTATAAATTTCTTTATATATCCCAATAACTGCCCAAATTGCGCCACTGAAAAAGATCTGTTCATTTTCTCTGTACTGGTCAAACTTCCATTTCGGAGCTCTCATTCAACCTGCACTTTCTTCTCTCTCGCGATAACCCAATTACAAGGTACAATACTCTTTCTTATTCTTATTATCAATTATTCATTCACTAATTTGTTTACAATTTCCCATTAGCGAATGCTCATAATCTTTAAACCTCATTCAGAGCCTGAATCTTAAAGTTTTCTTCTTCTTTTTCCCCTCATTTGGGTGCATTTAAATTTGGGTTTCTTTTGTTTTTCAGTTATTAATCCTTGTTGGTTTTTTGGGTACTTTTAGTTTGCAATCTAGGCCTCATTCAGTCAAATGCATTGTCAAAGCAATGTACTTTAAGTAGAAAAGTATTGGGTTCTGGATCTTAATGCTTTTTAGCGTCTGGGGAGTATCTGTTTTGCTCTTTCCTACAAGCTTGCTTGATTTACTGGACGCTGCTTCTTACCTGATACTTTTTATATTCTTTTGCAATTTGGAATTCCAGTCCCCAACCCAATTGTCCATTTTGACAACCTTCCATACGCAACTGTTGAAATTAAAAGATCAAATTGTTAATTGAGAACTGTGGTATTGTGGATTTGGTGACAGGAAAATTAGATTTCAAGTGTAAATGGCTGTCAGGAAGCCTGGTGTGATTGCCTTGTTTGATGTTGATGGGACTCTCACAGCTCCTAGAAAGGTATAGATCTCTGATTGTTATAGTCCTCTTAATTGTTTATTCTTTTTAAATTAGCATCTTATCAACCAATTTATTACATGGGCTTATCAATTTGAAATAAAATTTTCTGCATTTTTCCGAATCAGTTTATGCATGTATATCTGTTGTTGAAAACATCACTAATTCAGTACCGTTCACTTGAATACTAGGCGGCTACTCCAGAAATGTTGGGGTTCATTCGAGAACTTAGGAAGGTACATCACCCATTAACATCAAAGTGTCGGCTCTGTTTTTTTCTTTTTGGTGGTGGGTGGGGGTATGTGTTAGTTTTTTGTGCATGATCAAAAGCCTTGTTGAAGTGCAGGCTGTTACAGTGGGAATAGTTGGAGGATCTGACCTTTCTAAGATAACAGAGCAGCTTGGGTGGACAGGTGTGTACTTTTTTCTTGTAGAAAATATAACTCCAAAAGACATTTGAGTCTAGATATTTACTCATTATGGATGCAATATATATGCATATACACCTCTCAAAATCAATTTGTTTATTTGGGATCTTGACAACCAAGGAGTTTGAAGGTTTTAGATTTCTGCCAAAAGAAAAAATATTTAAGCTCAGCTTAATTACTTTTGTGCATAAGATGCTATTCAAATTGTTTGGTTGCATCTATTGTTGGCCTTTAAATTGTCTTAGTAAAGTACATGCTAAAGTTTAGTGCTTTGTTCTTTTTTCCTTCAACTCTAAGATATCCTTTAGTGTTAGTTCTTGAGGGATATTATGGACACAAGCTTAGCTGTCTAATTTACTAATTTTCAAAATCTGTTGAACTATGTCTATTAATTGTCTCTTTGTCTTTGCAGTTATTGATGACTATGATTATGTATTTTCTGAGAATGGACTTGTGGCTCACAAAGATAGGAGACTGATTGGCACCCAGGTATTATACAACTTAATGTGATAATAGAAACAAGTTATCACATTCATACGGTGTCCTTATTAAAGTGATGTTTTCTGAAGTTGATTTTGTGAAGTTAACATCCATGACAGTGTTGCATTCTTTTTCCTTTTCTCCTACATATTTCTTAATTTGGTAATTACTCCAAATTGATGGATTTTGCGTTTTGGATTCTTTAGAGCTTGAAGACATTTCTTGGAGAAGAGAAGCTGAAGGTAAAACCCATGCTCTGTTGTATGCTATGACTCTCAAGTTCCTTATTGGAAAGATACCTAAGGTGTCAAACACAGCATGCACAAAGAACCTAGAAACTTAATCAAATTGTTCTTGAGATTTATTTGCAATGATTTGCATACAATTCTGCAGGAATTTATCAGTTTTACACTTCATTATATCGCAGACTTGGACATACCTATAAAGAGGTTAGTGGAGGGAAAGCCTTGTTAATTCTTAACCTATCTGTAGTAAACTTATAATTTCATTGCTAATTGTAACTGTAGGGGTACATTTATAGAGTTCCGAAGTGGGATGCTTAATGTATCACCAATTGGGCGAAACTGTAGCCAAGAAGAAAGGGATGAATTTGAAAGATATGATAAGGTTAGATACTTAAACTAAAAAACTAAAATTGTGAGTTTTTTTTTCATTATAAAGGATATGAATTGTCTTTTGCGTTTGAATATAACTTGAAAGATGATATTTGGTCTGCAGGTTCAGAACATACGCCCAAAAATGGTATCCATCCTTCGCGAGAAGTTTGCTCACCTTAACCTGACATTTTCCATAGGAGGACAGATAAGCTTTGATGTAAGCAATAGTTGATATTCATTCATGCTTGATGATTTCTGGTTATTTATTCATTTTTATTTTTACTTGTCCTCTCTTGGAATAGTCTAGTAAAGGTCGTTGGGATGACATTTGAAATTGAACATGGCTGGTTTTCGATGCTTGTAACAGGTTTTCCCTCAAGGTTGGGACAAGACATACTGCTTGAGATACCTAGAGAAGTTTCAAGAAATCCATTTCTTTGGTGACAAAACTTACAAGGTTAGTCCGTAATTTCAGGGCTCTACCCTCTTCTTAGTTACACATGTTACCATTTTGACAGCTTCCTTCTGTTATTTCATAAGTTCTTTTTTCAAGTCCTCTGTTCTATACGTCCTTTATCTGGGCCTTAAGACTTGTGAGTTTCATCTTCTGCAGGGAGGAAATGACCATGAAATTTATGAATCTGAACGAACCGTAGGTCATACAGGTAAGCTCTAATTTCAGGTCGAAGTTACTTCCAGCCGTCTCATCATTGCTTAGCACACTTAAATGCACATATCCAACATGATTATCTGATGCTCTACACTTTTTGCAGTTACCAGCCCTGAAGATACAATCAAGCAGTGCAAAGCTCTCTTCCTGAGCCCCTGATTTCGTTCCAACTTTTTGGTTTCGGATTATATGCCATTTTTCAAACAAGAAGAAAAAGTTATATGCCATTTGTAATTCTGTATTCGAGAATAAATGTTAAAGCCGAAATCTGAAATGTGTAATATTATAATTAGACGCAAACCTATTGGTTCAGAAATTGCATCTTTTGCATTGTATTTTTGTACCACTTGTCCTATATATTTAAATATATCTTGAAAAGAATTGTTCACTTTTTTCCACATTGCTTCTGCTAGATGTGACCCAGTTCGATAATTTGTATAGCGAAGGTTTAAAAAAAAAAATTGGTTTTTTTGGTTTGTAATATTTTAATCAATTTAAAATTAACAAAAATTGAAAAATGTGAAACCCACAGTGCCACATAGGCAACTAACGGGGAGATATGACAGAAACCCTAATGGCAGAACCACATTATAACAAATTTAAAAATTCGGGGGTATGTTATTGTAAAAATTGAGAAGATATAGATTAACATGTATTAAGAGTGTAATCACAGGGTACTAAAGTGGAATTAATTCATAAACTAATCACCATCATTGTAGCAAAAGTCTATTATTTTACACACCTTTTTCTAGTTCCAATGGAAAGGAATTGAGCTTTGACCTACCCTAAACGTAACCATTTTTGCACTCACCCTTGCCATTTGAGCTAACTCGAGTTCTTAATTACTCATTTTTTTAGCCTCCATGATTGTCTAATTTGGATTTTTTTTATAAAAGAAATGGTGCCAATAATCATCTCATTACAAGTCAAGCAAATGCTTCATTTTGCCGTTAAAGTTAACAAATTTCTATGACGTAGGAAAATATTTATTAAAAAAAATTGAATTAAAAAATGAGGTGTTGTAATTGTGTCTTGCACTGAAGTAAAGAAGAGCACTGAAACGCTGTGTTTAGTTCCATCAAACAATCCATGGCTGCCGCTAACCAAATGCAAGTAGAAGATGAAAACGCCACCTTCTTCGTAGCGGTTCACGTCGGCGCGGGATACCACGCGCCTTCCAACGAGAAAGCCCTCAGGTCCGCCATCAAACGCGCTTGTCTCGCTGCCGCTTCACTTCTCCGCAAGGTCTCTTTCTCTCTCTGTCGTGCGCATATTTAATTTATACTGTTCCAGCTCCTGTTTGGTTGCCTAGAAAACCTGAGGGAAATAGAGAATGAAAGATTAAAACTTGAAAACATTGGTAATGGCATTTTTAGGAATTTTATGTGGACGAAAGTGATGGTTGGAAATAAATTAATAAAAACGCTAGTAGTGCCTTTTACACTACAAGCTTGTTTATAATGTTTTTTGTTTCTTTTGCTTCAGGGTTCTGGTAGATGCATAGATGCTGTTACGGCTGCTATTCAAGTCTTGGAGGTATATTTTCTCTTTGTAGATATCTATTTTTTAAGTTTCTTGTTAATTTACTTTTTAAAATTCCTTTTATTGATGCATCTTAGGAAGTAGAAATTCATAGTTTGTTGTTGCGTATCCGAAGTGTTAGCTATGAAAACATGCATGATTGTATCTGTTATTTCTTCTTATGCAACAGGTATGACTGTGTGTATGTGGAAAGAATTGTCCGAGGCAGTTTATGGATGAGTTTAGCCTCATGTTTTGTGTAGAAGGGTTTAATTCTTCTAATGAATAATCATGGTTTTACATGGTTAACTCTGTTGCTTTGAAGTGTACTTTTGGAGTTGTTTAAATTTGAAGATAGCTTTAGTCCAATTAAGTTTAAATAGCTAGAACAGAGTGCTTTATAAAAGCACCAACATGCTTGTAGAACAATCTAAGAGGAAGATTTAAGTTCCAAAGAAGATTAGATATTTGTCTCTCTTTCTTCACATGGAATTGTAGAGAGGTTGTTGGTAGAAGCCTCTTTCCTTTCTTTGAGAGCAATATTTGATGCCTACCATATCGTGTATTGTTTATTAACTCAGTTTTGATGCCTAAAGGATGACCCAAGCACGAATGCGGGTAGAGGCTCCAATTTGACAGAAGATGGTCATGTAGAATGTGATGCCAGTATTATGGATGGAAGTTCTGGAATTTTTGGAGCTGTTGGAGCAATTCCAGGTTTTCTCATAGCCGAAAATCACATATTTTATTCACATATACTATACTTTTTCCCTTATGTTACTTAATATCCCTTGCATTGTAGACCAGGTGTCAGAAACCCCATCCAGGTTGCTGCTTTATTGGCCAAGGAGCAAATGATGGGATCCTCTCTGTTGGGCCGAATACCTCCCATGTACTAATTATTCTCTCTTAATCAGACAATTATAGTTTTCATTCTAATCATTGTGTTTAACTCAGCTGTATTTTCTTTCTGTTATTTTGTCTCTTAAATACTTGTAAACCGTAATGGACTTTTTTTCCTAATCCTCTGTTCTTCTTTCCTTTCCCTTGTTTTCTTTTACTTAATTTAATAATGGAGCAGATTTTTTGCTGTGTAGCTTCCTGGTTGGTGAAGGTGCCCGCATATGGGCAAAGTCCAAGGGCATTGCTTTGACATCAAGCACGCCAGCTGCTGATGAGGTAATTTGTTTTAGTGTTTATATTTAATTTTCATCTCAATCACTAATCTTTTTTTTTTTTATGCTTATGTTCAAATTTTGGAATTTTAATGACACGGATATTTCAGCCGCAAATTTATTTCTTAGAAGGGATGAATTAATCATGTGTGTATTTCAAAACAGTGGCTGGTGACAGAAAGGGCAAAAGCACAATGGAAAAAGTACAAAGCAATGGTAGATGATGCAAAAGGAAAGACAGAAAAATCTGCTTTTGGACTTTCTTGCTGTCCTCAAGAGACTGCTGGAATGTCAGGTATTTCATCACCTTTTGATATTAAACAGATCAATTCAGTCATTCAAAGCTGATATTGTTTATAGTGTGTCTTACCATCTACATGTGTACCTGTCCTGGCAATGACACTTTCATTCTGTTTACCGTCTTCGTCCATACTGTATAGTAATCTGTGTGTCTATTCTTGCCCTAACATGCGCTAAAGAGGCACATCATAATATTTGAGGGATATGTTTTAAATCACGGTGCCAAAGCCAAATTCTGAACTATTGCTCTCTATAAATTTGTAAAAGTACGTTGCAGCATGATACACTTGCACTTCATATCAAAGTCTGTTCTATGCATGCATTTAATTTTCTTCTAGTTTTTTGTCCTTTTAAATAATCTGATACTCTGTTGACATAGCAACAAAACTGTTGTTTTATTATATTCTCCAGAAAAGATATATTGATGATCTGTTCCTATTATGACGATGTTTTTCTTGGTTCTTCTAGTCTGCAGTTCTCCGCTTTAGCTAGCATCTTGCTTAATTTTATTATGTAGTTCGTATGACCTTATTAAGAAAAAAAACTAAAGAATTATACTTCTTTATAAGTGATCATTGTATCTATGTTTTAGAATTAGAAAGTCAACCATGTGATTCTTTGAAGAGTAATGGGGCTGAAGATGATTGCGTCATGGACACTGTTGGAGTTATTTGTGTGGATGCTGAAGGACAAATAGCTTCTGGTGCCTCAAGTGGGGGTATTGCTCTGAAGGTGACAGATGCTTCTAATAATTTGCACTCATTTGTTTGTCGCCTGTTTGTGGTGACTAATAATCTAACAGGTTTTTTGTTTTTTGTTTTGTTTTTTTTTTAAAAAAAAGGTTGGTGGGCGAGTTGGATTAGCAGCAATGCATGGTTCAGGTTGTTGGGCATCTTCCAAAGGTCTTTTTGGGGCGCCATGTATAGTTGGTTGTTGTGTAAGTGGTGCTGGAGAATATCTAATGAAAGGATTTGCAGCTCGGGAGTGCTGCGTCTCTTTGTCAATGTATGTTTGTCCTATTACTATATAATATTTTTTTTCAATTTTCGTTGACGTGAAGGTTGAAATTCAAGATAGCTTCTGTATCTCTCTCAGACACACACACACACCAAGAATCCTGCTTTTGCATATTGGATCCGCCAAAGTTGGAGTGATCATGATTCTTCCAAGTTATAGTTAGCACTGTAGAACATCCGTTGGGATGACCTACAATGTCTATGAATTTTTTAGTTTATATACCATGTCTATTCTTGTTCAGATAATGCCCAGTATGTAAACTTGATTTTCATATTCATTGCTTAGTTCACAGGCAGGTCCTGCCTCTGCTTGCATGAAAGTTTTACGCTCTGTTGTTCAAGAGAGTGCTCACAATTGTACTGACAGAAGTGCTGGAATTCTACTTGTGCAAGCTGATGATCCCACAACAGTGAGTTCCAAGTTAGAACCTTTTTGTGTTAGTTGTCTGTAAGAATTCCTTTTTTTTTTGTTCTACAGGAATTGTTGTCTGAAGCAATTGTATGTTTATATGTTGCTTTTCAGGTTTCAGGAAGTTCTTCAAAGTTGAAAGCTGTAGAGATTGCAGCTGCTTACTCTTCCTTATCCTTTGGAATAGGATACTTTGGAAGCTCTATGGAGCGGCCCAAGGTATCATAGTCTGATCTTTGCATTTTTATCTCTCTTCTTTTCTTCGTCCTCATACTGTCAATACCTATTGATTTCTAACAAGAATGTAGGATCCGTTGTGAAGTTGTGGACTAAATTGTTTCCATCTTTCAGGTTTCAATTCTTAGGAGTACAAAATTGCAAAGCAAAACTGGTGTGGACCATTTCGAAGCGCGAATTGACCTTACTCGTGGAAAGCTGCTATGACTGCAAACTGCAATCTTGTTTGTTTAATATTCTGGATTTGGCCACTTATGCTTTGACGTAGAAGATCATCTGTCTATCAATTGGTTACTAGTTGTATTCCAAAGGTTTTAAAGTATTGGCTACTCTTCTCCTATTGTTTCCTTGTCGAACTACATTTGGATGTTTTACATCAACAGTGCTTCTGATATGTTAGCTCTTTTCTCTGGTATGTGAGATCTTTCTTTCTTGCAAAAGAACAGGAAAAAAGAAAAAGTCTCTTCAGTGAGTTGGGCAGAGTACCATTTCGCATCATCCATCACCAGTTCTATTAAAGAGATAGAAAAGGACTAAACCATGAACAAATTCATCTACATTTTCTTTGGAGATGAATCTCCAATCTAATACCAAACGTACAAAATTTAACTTATTACATTAAGTCTGCAAACCCCATTTCTATTATGTGTAGAGAGGATGCCTTCCAAGATTTTTGTATCAGATAACATATCAGAGTTCCTAGTCAACATGGAACCCCTGCTACATAAACCCTCTTACCGAAAATACATCATACGGTTAAAACAAAGATGCTTTCAACTCTTTTGACCCCAAAAAAAAAAAAAAACTGCCTTTTAACACTTAGAAAAATCTCTCTCGATTTCTAGTGGTGAGAACTGATAAGCACACGAAGGAAATGTTCCCACAATAAAAAAACCAATGGTAGCTCAGGATCAAGAATATGATGGTGGCGTCTTTAATTGAATTAGAGGGGAGATCTCTGCCAGTAGCCGCACCTCTGAACATCTCACTGGAAGTTGTGTACCCTTTTTGCTGATACGAGAGTATTAGAGAGAAGCATTGCTATTGTCATTGGACCCACTCCCCCAGGTACTGGAGTAATTGCTGAAGCAATCTGGCTGGCCTCCTCATAGCAGACATCTCCAACCAGCCGATAACCTCGAGGGCTCTTTTCATCCTGTCAAAAAATACACACATCATTAGCCCAATAACCTGTAGCCTTGAATGAGATACAAACATCAACATGCCATGATCAAACCATCCAATTTTATTTTAACAATGATATTTCATTTCCTGTTCACATCTGACAACCAAATGTGAAAGAAAAAAGAGGGGGGGTTGGGGTTCAATAAGGAATGAATTGTTAAACTATGAGCCCTTCTCACCTCAACTGGATTTATTCCGACATCAATAATCACTGCACCAGGTTTAATCCAGCTACCCCTCACCATATTTGGTTGACCTACAGCTGAAATTATGATATCTGCTTGTCTTGTGATCTCCTCAGGATTCTTGGTTCGGGAATGGACTATACTGATTGTAGCATCTTCCCTCTACCAACATTCAAAAATCAAGTTTAACTCATGAACACAAGTAAGTAAATTACTACTGGGGCAAACGAATGTCACCTGCAGCAATAAAGCAGCTGGCATCCCAACAATATTGCTCCGTCCAATTACAACTGCTCTCTTTCCTTTGATAGGTACACCATACCTATGCAACAACTCTATGCACCCTTTTGGTGTACAAGGCACAAACAAGGGGTCCCTTCCACGCATGGCAAGACGACCAATATTTAGCGGGTGAAACCCATCCACATCTTTCTCAATGCTAACGGCATTTAAGATGTTTTGCTCATTCATATGCTGGTAACATACACATGAAAACAATTAAATTGTTTAGTCATAATAAATCATGGGAGAACAACTGTAAATCTAATAAAATGTACATTCATATACATGAACATGGTCTTGATCGTAATGATCCATAGATCATGTTTTACTGACAACTTGAGGTTTAAGGGATGAAAGATACATGGGCAACCAAACGTACGCTTACCTAATTCATAGCTAAGTACGTTAAGGCATGTATATAATGAACTCTTCAAGAAACAACAAATATTCATCTACAACAAACTATAGAGTGAATCATTCTTCAGAAGCTAAAACATGCACCTACATGACCCAACAGTTCTCTATTTGCTAAAAGAGAGCATTGGCTAAAATGGATGAACAGAAGAGCTTGAAGACTTATGCAAGATATGCCTTCAAAACAACTTGTTTTTTATATTCTCATTGCAACATAATTTCACAAAGGGAAAGCAAAATTCAAATTTAAAAGCATACAGGAGGCAGAGGTAACTGAACAAGGATGCCATGAACTGAGGAGTCATCATTGAAGCCCGAGATGAATTTGAGCACTTCTTGTTCTGTGGAATCCTCCGGCAAACGCACTTCGAATGAATTAATCCCGACAGAATCACAAGCTTTTTTCTTGTTGCGCACATAAGTGGCAGAGTCCTTCCTGTCCCCGACAAGAATAACTGCTAAACCCGGAACAATTCCAATTGCATCCTTCATTCTCGCCACTTCAGCATTGATCTCATCTCTGATTTGCTTCGCAACTGATTTTCCATCAATCACTTTAGCCGGTGTTTCAGTTGCCAATGAAGCTGTAAAATCGACCAATATCTATTAACTACAGTATAGAAAATTTCATTAAACAAATTAGAGAAATTGTTGAGTAAGGTTGGAATCTATCAAGGATTTGTAATGTGACCACCAAACAGTTAATGCAATAAAACAATTCCCATTTGCCCAAGAACAAAAATCAAACCTAGTCTGTGACACTAATCAGTCATTCAAAAAACACCAGAGCATGCTAGAAAGCATTTGCTAAGGGTTCATTCATGGGCTTCTACATATTCGAATAAATGTAGCAGGGGATACGAACACTCTAAACCAGCTTTTACATTACATTCTTATCAGAAAACTCTAATTTGCTGCTATGTATGAGAGGGAAGAGAACCATACCAATGGGTGATGGAGAGAGTGAAGAAGAGGAGTGAAGGCGTAGGCTTCTGGGAGAGCTAAGGTTTATGAGGCGGCGAAGGGAAACGACGCCGTTATTTCTACGGAGGAGAGGGTTGTGTCTGAAGGGGAGGAGCCGAGCGGTGGTGGAGGACGAGCAGTCCGTGAACATCATCGACGCCATCTGGTATTGAGATTTTACCAGACAAGAAGAAGAAGATAGTCCCCTTCTGTACGTTATGCTCAAACTTCAAAACCCTTTTGGGGTTTTAGGGTTTAGCTTTACTTGTCTCTGTCGCTGTGAGATAAAAGATGGAATGGAAGTAGCCGAGTAACTATTACGCCATGTGTGCGGTGGGCAGTGACAGTAGAATAACAGGGTGGCGCAAAAAGTAAATTATTTTCTTGCATGAAAAACCATTAATTAAATTAAAATAATAATATAATAACAATATTTTTTTGATACAAAGGATAATGGAGGTATTATCATACACGCACTGTCAATGTGCCATATGAGTTCGAATTAAGACCAATTGTCTACAAATCAAGGCCTTTTCAATTGGGCTGAATCCTGTTAGCAATCTAACATTTCTTGTTAAAGATATTACGAAGTTATACAAGACTTATAATTCAAGTAATTAAGAATAAATTATGAATACGGGAATTTCTTTTGTTATCTTATAGTGATTTTAACACTCCTCTTTTAACAAATCTCATACAATCCTCTAGTACAGAAATGTAAAAATATTCAGTTTTATAGTGCAAATGTTCGAAGTAGGGATTATATGTAAATCGCTGCCCAATTAGATTATATGTAAATCGCTGCCCAATTAGATTATATGTGAAGCAAACAACTAAGTGGTGATTTTAAAAGAACGTCCATTCCATTCCAAGATTCATTCCAAATTTCCAATGAACAAAAAGTCAGATAGGAGATACTTTTCCCAATTCACCCATTCAAAAAACAAGGAAAACATGAGAGAAGATTTGAAATTTTATGATCTTTTCCTACACCATGGACCCAAACATAGCCCAAAACAAGTGATAGGCTTAGAGTCTTCTGCCTGCCTTTAGACAAAGACGCATCAAGAACAAAAGATTCAACAAAGTTTATCCAACAAAAAGGGTCGTCAGAGTCATCTGTTTGCTATTGATTGCCTCTTCAGTGTATTTTCTGTACAACTTATACCCAATGGAAGATGGAAGATGAATCTTTTTCTTTTTGGGTCCAACCAAAATGGAAGAAGTAATCAGCTATACAGTGCCTACGCCGTTTCTACATTTTCCTTTTTGCTGTGTTTACAATTGGGCATTTTTTATATAGCCAGTGTTCCTTCAGTGAATTGGTTCTCATCTGTAGAATCGGAAGACAGAGGTTTGGGTTTACTCATCATTCGAGAGAATCCGTAGCCAAGAGAACTTCCGCTCGTTTCACATAACTGCAGAGAAAAACATAAATTTGAAGATCCTAAGTATCAGGAGCAAAGCCACAACTGAAATTGTAATAATATGTTGTGCTAAAAAATAAAATAAAGGTGAATGTCAAGTACCTCAGTTAGCTCAGCAAGGTGGCGGGACCTATATTCATTGATGGTTGCTGCAATCTCTGACATGGGTAGTTTAGCCTGAACAAGAACAGGATATAAATACGATGAGACGACAATCTTAGAGACTTCCAACCAAGAACAATGTCACAATTATCTTTGGAAGAAAAATAAATAAAACAATAAGAACTGCAATCTCAAGTTGAAAACAAGAAAAGAATGTGTGCAAAGCTATTGAATAAGTTTTAACACAATACAACAAACAGAATCTCGAAGGTCGGGCAATCTTATGAAGAGATAAGATATTGACAATTAAGTAATTCACCTGAGCAAGAACAGCAGCTGCCAACTGCAGACTCGGTTCCAAGGTCTCTGGGACAACCTGTAAGTTGCTTGAGAGTGAGTCAAATTCTCATGAATGCAATCTATAAGAGATAAATAATACGCAAGCATTCCAATTTTTAAGCCACTCATTAGTCGTTAGATATTCTACTCCATTAAATATAGGGATTACTTCTGACAGGTGCAGTCAACAGAGAGCAAAGTAAGAACAGGCATTAAAATATTACCGCTGTAGCCCCAGCCTTCTCCAAATTAAGGCCATGATCAACGTCATGAGCACGAACAAAAGTTTTCACGTTTGGGAAATACTTGCTTAGAGCCCAGACAGTTCTATAGTTTGCACCAGGAGAATCTAAAGTGATGGCTGCAGCGCATGCTCGTTCAGCACCAATTTTGTGGAGCACCTATTCAAGGGGTTGAAAGCATTTCATACACTAAACCTGCATATGATAAAACTATACTTTCAACTTATCATACATACCTCTCGACTACCAGCATCTCCAAAATAGACTGGAACATCTAGAGAACGTCCAACTGCCACTCTATCACTGAACAACAAAGAACATGTTAATGAGATATTATGAATTGCAATCTTCAGAAACCATTCCAAAGATTGTCAGGCCTCGTTGTTTACTTTTTTTATAGTCATCATGTCCTTAGTGCTGACTAAGAGAACACAAATAAACTCCAAAAACCATTCATTGAAATGTACATACAAGCTAGACTAACATGTAGTTGTAAAATACACATGAGACTAACGTACAGCCATCCAGCGCTAGTAATAATAGAAAAATCAATTACAATGAAAAATTATAAAATGTCTTCAAGATTACCTCCTCACATCAAGAGCTACAAACGGAATTAGTCTCTCTGAAAGAAGCTGTGCAATTATCTGAGAAGAAAAGGAGAGGAAAAACCAAATTACAACTGTTACAATACATGCACAGGCTTGGCTAAGATTTTCAAACTAATTGTATGACAAAAGCTGAAAACTTTTACAACCTGGCCAACTCGTCCAAAGCCACAGATGATTATATGACCTTGTAAATCATCTGTCTGGAAATATAATTCAGCCAAGAGATACCAAGATTATCAGTAAACATTAACCAAAAAGATAAATGAAAAAATATTTTGATATCATTTCTAACACAACATGGATATTATAAGTTAAAAATTAACAGATACCATATGGATAGCTGCAGTTATGATGTGCTAACCGAGTTTTTAATAAAATAAGGAAAATTACTGTTGCCGAAATTTCTTAATTAAAAGAATTTTCTGGGTGGGCAACAATACTTTCCAGCAATTAGTCTTGGCAGAGCATCAGTCATAATAGTACATTCTTCATCAGGCGTTTTACCTCACTCTCAACAGGTAGTAAACTTCGAACGTCATGCACCTCAAAACGAGATGCAATTAACTGGCCGCCAGCAGCTAGCCATGGAGTGATGGCCATTGAAATTCCCACGACAAGGAAGAGCAAAGACGATAATTGAGGAGACATTATTCCCTGCAGATTACTCAATTAGCATGATACTTCTACAAGCAACATTGCAGAATGGCTAAGACATTAAGCAGAATATGACACCAACTAGCAAAATAGTTGACTAATTTTTAGTATCAATTACAACCAAGAGCTTCCAAATAACAAGGCTTTTTTAAAATAAACCAATTCATGTGGGACCCTCTGGATCCACTATTTTTTCTTTTTAAAGATCAGCCTATTATCTCTGTGTTTTCACATTGAGAATTCTTTGCAGATGAAGAGAAATGTGTTTTATTTAGTTATTCAGTTAAAACAATTAGTCATCAATTAATAAAAACAACATTCGGTTAAACCAATGCTTTTACCCGAGTAATTTACCATTGGGAAACTAGATTTTTAATATTGGTTAACACCTATGAGATGCGTTAATAGAAGGCAAGGTATTCGCTACTACATTTGCATAAACACCAAGGAGACCATATAAAATTTAGTAAAGCCTTGTAGTTGTTAAAATGCAAACCAGTAAATCTCACAAACAGTAAGGATGGATAAATGAAGTAAACCTGATTAACAGCTTCACCAAAAGCAACAAATGCAAATTCTCCGCCAGGAGCGAGAAGAAGACCAACTCTTATTGCAGATATTATTGAAACTCCGAAAATTTTGCCAATTAAAACAACCAATAAGGATTTGCCACCAATAAGGAGTCCTAATGTTCCAGCTATAACCGGGAAGTTTGAAACAAGAAGCTTTGGATCAATAGACATTCCAACCTGAAACCACAAAATAGTTGTTACAAATTGCAGATATAGGGGCAACATTCTAACATCAATAGGCTGACAGTATCAGTTGACTAAAATTAGAAACAATGTCCAAGTCAAGAACTCAAGTAACATCCTTCTCAATGCTACAATTATTAATTGATAATATCATATATATTGTATTGAAAATACACAAGAAAAGCCATTTGAAGAAATAAGGCAGCTGATGCTGACGAGCTGGAAGATCATCAAACATCGCATCAAGAGTGTAACAATTTAAGACTCACTATACGGTACATATATTTTTGTTAAAACTGCTTGAGGGTGGTATGGAAAGAAATGCTAGGAAAATCATGGATTGACGTCCCAGTCAATTAAAGGCATGTGTGCACTCTCGGAGGGTTTGTAAGGGGTTATTTTTCAATAACAAAAAGTATTTTTGAGATAGTGGAGGTCCTCAAAGGGTTTGTAAGAGGTTATTTTTCAATAACAAAAAGTATTTTTGAGATAGTGCAGGTCCTCTCTCTCTCTCTCTCTCTCTCTCTCTCTCTCTCTCTCTCTCTCTCTCACACACACACATCATAAAGCACATACCGTCATGAAAAAGAGGCCCAATAGAAGACCACGATACGGAGCAATGTCTGACTCAACCTGTAAAGAAAATTCAGTTTCTGCAAGAAGCAAACCAGCCAAAAATGCTCCGAGTGCCATGGATAGTCCAGCCTGTTCAAGAAACGAAAAAATATTACAAACTCTAAGGCAACAAAAAAAAACAAATAATGCAGAATATACCCTGGCAGTTAGAAGACTTGTTCCTAGAATAACAAGCAGTGTATTGGCAGAAAATATTTCTGCATTCTGATTTTCTGCAATTTGCCTATAAATTGGTCGAAGCAGCTGCAAAACCCCAAAAAAGAAACATTAGGCTCAAGGCACAAACTTGAATCTTAAAAGAAGATGAGATCAAAAGGAGAGCTTGTAAAAAAGATGAAAACATTTCGAAATTGTTTTCTCAAGCAATATGAAAAATATTTTTGGCCTCCTCCAGGCCCTTTATTCTAAGAGAACATAGTTTAGCATTAAGGTTCTGATCAAAGTTCTATACTAGTAATGCCATCTAAAACACTTAACCATATGTCACTTCCCAACCTTAATAGGCAAAACAGATGTGTGGGGGCTTGTAGCTCAAGTGGCAGAGCACTTTACACCATGCTCATGGCAAAAGTTT